TGTACAAAACCTTTTTTGATTAATTATTATAATCCCAACTATATTTCTTGAAACACTTCAACAATAATTTTAAAAGAAATCGTGGGAATAATAAGAAAGGAACTTTCACACAACAAGAAAATCATGTATATGCAATGGCATAATCCCAAGCTAATCCCTTGTTGATTCCTCATAAAATGATTCAATGAAGGATTAAAGAGGAAACAACGAAGAGACTATGTCATAGCTAAATTTAGGTAGCAATTAGTGAGAGAACTATTGCTAATTGTTGTAATTTTTTTAGAAAATCTCTCTCTAAAGCCACACTAATGAATTTAAAAAAAATGTTAATACTTGTAGCTAGTCCCTACTTGATTTGGAGTAATGTATCTTTAGCTAATCCCTAGTTGATCAGTATCAAATTGGTTGTAGCAAATTCCTAGTTAATCTACAACAAAGTGGTTGTAGCAAATCTCTCGTTGATCTATAGAAAAACTATTTGTAGTTAACCCCTACTTGATCCGAAACAAAATATAAGAATTTATCCCTAGTTAATCCATAGTTGATCTGTAGCCAAAATATTACAACTTATTCCTAGCTAATCCTTAGTTGATCCACAGTAAATTATAATAACTCTTCTCTAGCTAATCTGTAGAAAATTGAAACAATTGATCCCTAGCACATTATAATATCTTATCCCTAGCTAAATCCGTAGCAAAATCATAGAAAATTATAATGACTTATCCCTAGCTAATCCTTAGCAAATCGTAGTAAATTTCATCAAACCAAAATATTCCATGCTCTTATTTGTACCTTATAAAATGTATTTAATATAAATATAATATTAATTAAAAATACAATAAATCTTACCAAACAATTTATAGGAAACATGTCAAATTTTACCACATTCGAAATAATCAAAGTCAAGAACATAATGAAAGTGGAATTTTTATATCAAAACTGCCAACATACATCATCAAAACAAAATAAAACAATATCATCATCTTCATATTTTGTTCTCCCTGTGTTTCTTGATTGATGGTGGTAATGATATCTTTAATGCAGGAAATGTTTGTGTAAAACTCTGATGAGTGAATATTTATGCCCTCATATATCCTTTTATCTTGGATTCTTAATTGGTTACTGTGCTGAAAAAGAGTGTTTTAATTAGAATTTGCTATAATTGGGTTTATTGATCATAAGATACAAAAACATGTTAAAAATAATTTTTTAGTTTCATAAATGTTCTTTGGATATTTTGAGGTATGTTAACTCAGTTGCAGCTACGTTGAGCTAATTGAGGTCTGAAAATAAATTGATTAAAGCCTCATGACACCTTGAAGATAAAATCAAGAAGTTTAGCTGAGTCAAAATGAATTTGGCTAAGCTAAGAAGAGAGAACAGAGAACAAAAATGTACCTTATGATGTTCTCTATCTTTTTCCACAAAAAATAGTTTTGATAATTCAAAAAAAATTATGATGAAAGATAAGACAAATATATCATTAGATATTTCATTTGATATTTTTAAATGATTATCTTGTTTAATTATAACAATAAATATCAAAAGATAATATTTGGCAAATCTTTTTGCATACGGTAAGATTTTCTCAAATATTTTTATATGTCCATAACAACTAAATATATCTTGAACATATTGTATTACTTGGAAGATAATTAAAGGATATTACATTATTAATAAAAAGATTACAACAACAGAAAAGTCCAAAAGAAAGCTCAATCCAATTGTTATATATAAAGACTTAGAAAAACACGTTAGGGTGATTTTTGTACTTTAGTTATGAACCGAAGCATAAAGGTCCCTACTATGCTTCGGTTCCCTCAAAACCAAAGCATGAAACCATAAATAAATAATAAAAAATATTAAAAAAATATAGATTTGGCATCTGTTTTTACAAGCACTAAGGAAAAATAGGATATTTGGCTTCGGTTCTTAGAAAAATCGAAGCTAAATATCCTTAAAATTAAAAAAAATATTTTAAAGCTAAAAGGGTATTAAGCTTTGGTTCTTAAAAGAATCGGAAAAAAAAAAAAGATATTTGGCCGTAGTTCTTAGAAGAACTGAGCCCAAATGTTTATAAAATTAATATATTTTTAAACTTGTAAAATGTACCAAAAAAACAACACATTATATTTATGAGACCAAAATAAGTTGGTGCTTTGTGACCTTTTATGAAACTATGTTTATTCAAATTTTGTAGTGTGATGTGTCTCATGAAGAAGCCTTTTCATCCTTAATAACGTGTTATTGTTTTCATGAGACAATCACTTAAAGAGTTAACATTTTTACTTTTCATGAGTTTTGATGCCAAGATGTTATAGGAAATGAAATTTGAGCATGTCTTAATTTCATGCAAAATACTAAACATTTGAAGTGTTTTGGCTGTCTTATATTCAAATATCACTCACTTTATTTGTTTCAACGTTATATTTTTCTAACTTTCATGAGATTTTTTTTCTATGTTTTCCTTCTCTATTTGTGATTTTCTTCATTGTCCGTGGTTTTTATTTAGGTATATTCCTATTGGGACGAATCATTCGAGTTGTATGAAATTTTTTTCTCAGGGGGATGTTGAAGAAGTTTCTCCTTTTCCCCCTTTTGCTGCAAACATGGTGATTCGCATCATGATGTTATTAGGACAATTATGGTTGGCTCTTTGAATGTGAACAAATGAAAGACTTCTTCTTGTAAGCTATGATCCAAATATAGTCATGAGAAAAAGGAAAGACCATTTCTCAAATCCTTAATTCCGAGTATTTTCGGATTTAGGAAAGCAAATATAAAAGAAACTTTTAAGAGGACATGTATTCTCTTAAACTCTTCTCCTCAAGAGGTAATAATTTTAACTGGTCTTCTAACAAATCTATAAAATAATCACTTTATCTTATTCTTACTTAACACAAATTAATGGCATAAACAAAGTCATGAAAAATGTCTTTTCAAACTAATGATCCTTAGTTTTCCACATAAAAACTCTTACAAAAATAATAAAGGGCATTAAAATGGCCACTATAACTCGAGTATTAAGCGATATTCAAATTTAAATAATCAATTATATTTTTTATTACTAAGATTTATGTTAGAGACCTAATTATAGATATAAATTTATTCACAAAAAGTATATATCCACATATTCTTTTCATCCATTATATATTCATAAATTCTATAATTGCTCGAATTCTTATTGACTTGATAAAATCTCTTTATATGTGAATGTCTCCTTAATCTTTATCCACAATTCAACCATTAATCTTCAGTGCAAGCTTAGTTTTCAAAATATATTCACCTCAATAAATTACATTCTATTTCAATAAGAATATGACTAATTCACATAAATCCGTAGATAATCAATATAAATGATAATAATAAGATAAAACAAAATAATTGCTTTTATTCTGGAAAAATATCTTTCGGACAACCGAATTTTTGTTTAATAATTATTTGATAACTTCACTTTAATAATAAAATATTATGTTTAAATGAGTTAATTAACAAATATATTTAAAATTTAAACTAGTTATATAGTCGTTGTATAGAATAGATTGGTTGTTAACATATGACTTCTTTATAAATACTATAAACGAAATTTGGACAAAAGGTATGCATGTTCGAAAGAAATAAATATATAAATATTTTTTTACATGCTTAAAGTTCGTAATATTACAACATTTTATAATTGAAATTTATTGATAATACTTCAAAGATTAAATGGATTAAGCAGTTCAGAATATCAAATATTTAAAAAAATTAAAGAAGTATGATTTTAAATTGTACGAGTGGAATTTTTGGCATACGGATATTGAAAATATCAAATTGAGACTACCCTTCACTCTAAAAATCATCGAGTTTTATTTACCACATAACAGCATATTAAGGTAAACATTTATATTACATGTATTTAATTTCTGTCTGAATCCTTAAATGAATAAAGTTTTAATTATACGTTTTAAAGAAACATATATACAATTTCTATCTAAAAAAAAGGTTTCAATAGTATATTAACCAATTCAAAACAACTAAAAGATTAAAATTGTTTAAAGGAAAAAAAGAGACAGAAAACTAATATAAAGATAAAAAGTCCAACTGAATGTGGATCTCTCTCTATCATTATTATCTTAATTATTATAAGCATAATTATTATAAGCATAACATTAAGGTCTTGTTAGTTTGAGTGAATTTGAGGGGGATTTGAGAGGATTTGAAGATAAATTTTTTTGTCGTTTATTTGAGTGAATTTGGAGATAAATGAGAATGAATTTAGAAATAAAATTTGTGAGAATTAGCATAGAATTGTATTGACATGATAAATTAAAAATATTTATTTCCAAATTCACTCTTATTTACCTCTAAATTCACTCAAATAAACAACAAAAAGAAAATTTATCTTCAAATGCTCTCAAATCTCCTCAAATCCACTCCCTCAAATCCACTCAAAAAAACAAGACCTAAGACTATTATCAGCACCATAACTAATATTACCTACCTCATTACAACTAAAGGCCACCATTAGAATACGATATTTACTTCATTCACGCATATAATTAAAACCAATTTTTTTCCAGATTAGGTATTACACATCAACATGTTTCCCTAATAGATTAATATTTTATGAATATTTATCTTGTTTCTATCAAATCATAAAATAAGTTCCGAACTGAAATCCATATTAAGTTAGCCTTATTAGGTTAATTACTTAAAAAATTAAAACACAAAGTATATTTAAATTAATTTTCATTTTAACTCTCAAACGACTTAATTTTAATTCCTAAATAAATATTAGATTAATAAACAGAAAATTATTTATTATATATTTTTTATTTTAAAAAACATTGTATTTTTACTAAGGCAAGAAAGTGTTCTAAATCAATAATAATTGTGTCATGGAAAAAAATTTAAAACAAGAGATATAAGAAAGAAATCCTATAACACAATATTTCATTTTAGTTAGGGATGGGTCATTTCAATGTTAGGGGTGAAAAAGAGTGTTGGAAGAAGAGTCACTAGAACTCATAAGGTAATGATGGAGATTAATTATGTGAAAGTACAGTGAAAAAACTCTTCACCAATAATATAATTATTAAAAAAATTCACTTCATTTCTCGTCAGGCCAACCTTTTGGGACGGGTGCTCCGACGAGACCCGGACGCTATTCGGGTCTTGACCCGTTCAAACTCAGTGAACCGGCACGGGATGGTGATTCCCCCGTCGTGGTGGAACCCAAACTCCTCCTCTGTCTCCTTCAGCAACTCCCCAAACAAAGGATGGTTGAAGTATATTACCGGGACCAGCACGCGGTGCAACTCGCCATCCTTCTGCCCCACGTACACGGCCAGCTGTCCCTTGGGCACACTCGGGTCCCGGTCGGATCCTACCACGGAACCGGATCCCAATTGAGCGTAACCGGACCCTACTGATACCGGAAAGCAGGACTTGGCGCTCGCCGTCAGTTTGCGACCCCAGGAGAGGAGTTTAGCGATGGACGACCGAGGAGAGTTGCCCAGGCGATGGTATCCGGGTCTGGTCCGGACCCGGATCTTCCTGAAGACCCATTTGGAGACCCGGATGAGGCGCTTCCTGAGGTTGAATCCGCGAATCTTGGACATATTCGGGGAGAGGGTGGATAGAGATTTTGAGACCGAAAGATGAGATGATGTATGGTAATGAAAGTGAAGAGGAGGGTGTGCGTGTAGGTGCGGTGGGGTTCATGAGAATGGCCAAGGGTCTGCTATCGACATCGCTAGGCGAAACTGGGTGAGACAAATCTCAGAGAGTGAAGTTGGGATGTTGGACATGGTTTCCAGACGCAGTTTAGTTTCATTGACGAACAAAAAACTGATCCATGCTCTTACCAACCTAATTGCGACAACGTGGGAACGAAGGTCGTGTCTGTTTTGCAGGCGAGAGGGAAGACGTTCTCGTTTGGCTACTGGGATTTGTCAAGGACACTCCTAACGTATATATATACCAAAAGTCTAGCAAAATAAGACTTGTTTGTTAGTTAGCTAACGTACACGGTATTGAGGTGGAACCTTGTTTAATATCCGTATGCTCTCTTGAACGGCGTTTACTTTCATGGTTTCAATATGAGAAATACTTTTTTAATTTTTTGCATGAATAAGATCAATCCATTTTTCCCTGAAATATTAAAGCCTTTCATTTTTATATGCATAATATTATCACAAAGTAATATTATGTCCTATAGACCAATCACATATTGTTGTAAATATAACTTTCAAAATAGTTGAAAGTAATTTGAAACTAAAACATAGACAAGTTTAAAAGATACCTATATATATATATATGTTTTTTTCGAATTAGATATCTAATAAACAATAAAATTGTAGTTTAAGTCAATAAACACAATATTTATTTATAATTCGATTGTAAATCTATGAAATGGTTTAAATTATTTTGATTTTGTGTTTTAAATTATTGTTTAATAATTGATGTTATCCTGATAATACATGTTTCAATTTAGTAAAATTAGAAAAATGAACAGAAAAGATTCAAACTATAATACTTAGTTTTATTTAAAAAGAATATTAATATTCACAGGAAAAAGTAAATTTTACATTAGTACGCGAAACTTATTTAAAGACAAAAAGACTAATTCAATGTGTTCATGTTATTGCATTACAGGATACGAATGATTACTTGGTATGAGAAACTCAAAAACACGCAAGTTTTAAGGACTGAATAGAAATTTTATAAAATTAAAATAATATGATGATAATTGAATCTCATACATGTGGTATTTGTTTAGTAATGAAAAGAGCACTGTAGCCACACGTTCTCTTTCTGGTGTATATAATCTACAAAATCGTTGAAAATATATGCAAAACGTTGAACATGTTATTTATTAATCAAAGAAGATTTTATTTCAATATAATATTTAAGACAGCTTTAAGGTATTTAAATTTAACATTTTGTATTAACATTTTGTATTAACATGGATGAAAGTCATTTTAGATTATTCTAAAAATCTTCCAAAACAAATAGTTTTAAAAATTAAAGTCCTTTAGGAATGTGAGATGATGAACTAATAATCAGATTTTAAAATATTAAGGTTCTTTTTTCTGGTAGATGGAGTCACATAAATATGATTTTAATTCATACAATAGGCTTCAGTTTAGAAGAAATCGAAACCTATGAAAACACGGTGGCATTTTCGTAGTTTCGACAAACTTATACACATCGGTTTCCTTAGAACCGAAGCATAAAACTCATATTACCTCAGTCAAATTAGGAATCGAGGCCTAAAGTCCTCAGAAATTCTACATGTCCATATGGAAAAGTGACTTTTCCCCTTACATCTTTCTATAAATCGACTTATTGCACTAGTTACTGACCAACCAAGGCATAAAGCCCTACAAATTCCCACTTGTCCATGACTTTTCGTCTACCACCTTTCTAAAAACGAGCTACTACCTCGGTTGTCTACAAAATCGAAGCAGTATCTCCTGCCAATTTAGATAGTTCTGATATTTGAACATTTCAATTCGTTTTGTCGACCCCTATGGCTTCGATTTTATTAGGGTCGATCTTAAAAGGGTTTTATGTCTCGATTTAACCGTGAACCGAGGCATATAGGTTGAAAATAATTTCAAATTTTCCATTTTTGATTAATTTCTGACGAGTTTAGGCATCGGTTACTTTAAAAACCAAAGGGGTAAGTGGTCTATTACCTCGGTTAAGTAAATAACCGAGGTAGTATCTCTTTTGTAAGTTACTTCTCAGAAACATAAAAAAGTTTGACCTATTGTTCTTCTTCTTCCTCGCGAAAACGAGACCACCTATTGTTCCTTCTTCTTCTCACGAACATTGTGGTTGTTTCCACCCTCCTGCGCATCCATTCATTCTCTTCGGCGAAGGCAAAGCTCATGGTGTGGCCTCCATTTTTGTCGCTCGAAGGTTGTTCCATCTCTATCACGCAAATTGCACTTTTCGTTGCCGCCACCATTTGTTTGTCGCCGCCTCCGGCCGTTCATCATCGCCAAGGACTGTTCATCAATGCCTCTTAATAGTTTGTAGAGCCACAGTCCATTTCTCCTTATTATCAATATTACACTATCATTTTGATTCATTACATTGTATTATGTTTATGTGTTTATCTGCTATTATTAATCCAAGCATAGCCTTAGCCAAAGTTATTAATAGTTAAAAAAAGTTTATGAATTAGAGATATAAAAGTTAGAGTGATGGGAATTGTCTTAAATTAGATATAGAAAGAGTTGGTGAATTAGAGATATAAAATTTATAGTCATGTGAATTGTCTAGAATTAGATATAGAAAGAGTTGGTGAATTAGAGATATAAAATTTAGAGTCATGTGAATATTCTTGAATTAGATATAGAAAGAGTTGGTGAATTATAGATATAAAATTTAGAGTCATGTGAATTGTCTTGAATTAGAGATATAAAAATTAGGAGAATGGAAAATTGAAATGTTTGTATTAATGCTAGTACAAAAACAGCGTATAACGTCACGCGTTTAACGTCCAACCACTGAATAACCAACGTTAAAAATGACCGGTGACATTTTTGTAAATAAATGCAATTATTAAACGTCGTTTAGAATTGTAATCCGACGTAAAATGATATAAAACGTCGAACGCCTCAGCGTTAGACGTCAAAAGGTTAGTGAATTCAATAAAATTTTGAGCGGGAGATTGAAAATTCATTCATTTTATCTTAGCGCGCGAGACCCTCTTCTCTTCTCAAACTTTTCTTGAACGAAGTTTGACGACCATCATAGGTAATCTTTCTTTCATTTGATACAAATGCATTTTATGTATTATTTTCATTTGTTTTGACCGATTATTTTCGTGCTTTTGTCCTTCATAGGCGCATTCTGCTTTCTCTGTCACCGGTGACGACACTTTATTCCAACGAACCCACCTTTTGAAGGTTAGTTTTCGTTTTGAAGAACTTATTTGTTGAACTTGTTTGTTATTGTTTGGTTGAACTTGTTTGTTGTTGTTGTTTGATTGAACTTGTTTGTTGTTGGTTATTGTTGTTTGTTCTTGATACTACGTTCATAGTTCTTGCTTTATAAAATACCAAAAACTGAAATTTGTTGTTTTTATGCTTTTCAGGTCTCGTAGGGTTGTAAAAAAGTATCACAATTAATTTAAAAAAACAAAAAAAAAGGTGATTAACGTCGTATATTAACAAAATTCGACGTTAAGTTAACGTCGTATATTGACTAAATTCGACGTTAATTTAACGTCGAATTTTTTAAATTCGACCTCAATTTAACGTCTCCTAATATGACGTCGTTCGCGAATTCGTCGTTAAAAGCCCAAAATATTCAACGTTCTACCCGATTTTTGTCCTAGTGTAAATTGGTTGATTTGTTCATGAAATAAACTTTAAGGTTAGGAATCATGAGATTAATTAATGTGTTATTTGTCTAGATATTGTATTTTTGTGGTGAGGTTTTATAGCTTCTAAAACACAGACATTTTTCATTGTTGACTGATTTTCACGCTCCCAGGTTCCCATTCTTAAAAATGTCCTTTTATTATGAACATATAATTATTTGTTTGCTTGAATATATTGTTTGCTTGAATATATTGTATGTTGAATATGTAGTTATTTGTTTGGTTGAATATATTGTAGTCGTGAATTAGCCTTAGTTTCCCGTTTGAGATTCAATAAAAAAAATTATTTACTATCTCCAGATTTTTTTGAACACATGTACCTTTTACAAATGAATAGAGAGAAGATGGTAATAATAATTTACAAGTATTGAATCTTGAATTGTTCAGTTGCACAGTTTAAGAAGAGTAATAAATTTTTCATAGTTTAGTAATATGTATAAATTTTATTATACATGTCTTAAATTTCATGAAAATTTTCAGTTGCGTTTTGTATTGATCTTCGAGTGCATATTTGATTGTGATTTATAATCACTTTCATTTTGTGTAACTTGAAGACCAATGCGAAATGCTGGCAAAATTTCGTAAAATTTTAGATATGTTGTTTAAAATTTATATGTTTAATAAACTAAAAAAGGTAAATCTTCTTGAATGGAATAGGGTCACACCTTGAATACAAAAGCGATCAAAGTGATCATTCAAGATTATTGAAATTGTGTAAACAATTTCAGTAAATATGTGTACAAATCGACATTGGATTAATTCACCATGCATCAAGGTTGAGTATGAGAGAGGGGTAAAAGAATTTATACAGTTTGTGCACCGTAATTAGAATACAAGTGATGATGAAGTTAAGTTTAGATGTCCATGTGTCAACTGTTTGATGGCACGACGAATTAATAGACTTTCCAACTGTCTCTCCAACTGAAAATGTATTTAATTCCACCATGGAAGATCGATCAGAAGAAGACAGATTAGAGGACATGATCCGCGATGTTGACGCATAAGCTTTTGCGCAAGCGCATGTGTATGAAACAATGTCCACTGATGTAGAGACTCATCTGTATGTCGGTTCAACTAAGTTCACACGGTTGCCAGCAGTGTTAAGGCTCATGAATTTAAAGGCATGAATATGAGAGAACAATTGATGGACTGCTTCATCATCCAGTTGATTCAAAGCAATGGAAAAATATTGATCAACAATTCCCCCAATTTGGTCAATAATGTAGAAATCTTAGGTTCGGTTTAGCTACTGATGGAATGAACTTATTTGGTAATTTAAGTAGCAATCACAATTGTTGACCCGTTATACTGATAATTTAACACTTATCTCCTTGATTGTGCATGAAAACAAAGTACATGATGTTGTCAATGTTGATATCCGGTCCAAAGCATCCTAGAAATGACATATATATTTATCTCAACCCACTAGTTGAAAACTTAAAGTTGATGTGGGTTGAAATATTTGATGTCTTTGCTTCTCAAACTTCCATGACGCATGTCATGTTATTTTTCACCACTAATGACTTTCCAGCTTACGGTAATTTG